CAAGTTTGACATAGAGAAAGCAACTACCAAAGGCACACAGCAGCGGGCAGAGGCCCTGTTCGTGGCCCCATCCATCAGGCTATCCCGCCGTTCTACTGGTTGGATACTTTGTGGGACGTCTGCTGTGGTTCCTGGGAGATGGGAGAGCTGAGACGAGAGTAGGGGGTGGGGGTGTGGGTGTGGGTGACAGTATTTCTCTTCTTCAGAGCTGTTTCCTATTCAGATGGAAGGTGTCAAGCTCACAGTCAACAAAGGGCTGAGTAACCATTTCCAGGTGAGCCTTCCTGCCTCCAGAGGGCATCCCAGCCACCCCCCCTGCACCTCTGCATACCACCCCCTTATTCCCCCCAAAAGGGCTGGGCTCCTTGCTCCTTGAAAAGACTCAGAGACCGAGCCAGGCTGACTTCTCAGTGGGGGTGTTTAGGGACCCAGAATTCAGAGATACCCCTTCCCCCAAAACATCCAGGTAGAAGTGAAATGCCAGGTGTGTAGTGTCGTCGTCCCACCCCCACCCCCACCCCCAGCACATTCTTTCTCTAAATCTCTAATCTAGCCAAGCCACACCTCAGAGTCTTTACTCCCGGCCCCCAGCCAAGAGATGCCTGTCTTTTCCTCCTGGATAGGGAAGTCCAGGCTGGAGGGGAGCTGTGCTGGAGGTGGGCTCAGCTGGGATTATTGGGGGGCGGCCTGCAGCTTCATCCCCACAGCCCTCCCTCTTCTCTCAGGTGAACCACACAGTAGCCCTCAGCACAATCGGGGAGTCCAACTACCATTTCGGGGTCACGTACGTGGGGACAAAGCAGCTGAGTCCCACGGAGGTGAGGTTCTCGTCATTTCATTCATCGTATCATTCGTCTGACAAGTGTGTAGCCAAACACCAGAAGGCTTTGTCGGGAAGAAGCCAGGGCTGCTGAGGGTGCTGTGAGGGGGCACTGTGTCTCTCCAAGGTGCATTGTAATATTGGTCGTTCCTGCATCCTGGACCCCTGCTCTCTGCCCATCCTGTGTTGCATGAGGCTTTGAATGCCAAACTAGGCATTTGGACTTTCTCTAGGGGGCACTGGAGAGCCATGGGAAGATCTGAACGAGGGAAGGTCATGATCAGGTTTATGCTTTAGAAATGTCTCTGGATGCCGTGCAGAGGCTAGGTTAGGGGAGTGGGGGCAGAACTGGAGGCCTGGAAGGAGACTGGGGCAGGATACAGGAGGAGTTAGGAGACCGAATTGGTTAACTGGTTCCATTCAATAAATTCACTTATTCAACAAACCTTCATTGCACCTCCATTCTGTGTCCAGCTCTCTGCAGGGGACATAGCAGTGACTGAAACAGCTGTGGGGCTCACAGTCTAGTGGCGAGAGGGGCAGTCTGTTCCTGGGGAGTAACAGTGCAAGGTGGGCAGGACTGAAATGAACCCAAAGGCTAGGGGAGCCTAATTCAGCCTAGGTGGTCAGGGAGAGCTTCCTGAAAGGGAGGCCTTCAAACTGAATTTTTCTGATTCTAAGCTTTTCACCTGGGCCCATCACTTATGTACTTCCGTGATGCTAGGCCTCTGACCTTTAACCTCTCACCTTACCTTACTGTCTGCCTCACAGGCATTCCCCGTGTTGGTGGGTGACATGGACAATAGTGGCAGCCTCAATGCTCAGGTCATTCACCAGCTGGGCCCCGGCCTCAGGTCCAAGATGGCCATCCAGGTGAGTGGGCGTCGAGTCACCTGCTCCCCCAGCCATCCTGAGCTCCACGCTGCCCTCACACTTCCCCTCCCTCCCCACAGACCCAGCAGTCAAAGTTCGTGAACTGGCAGGTGGACGGGGAGTACCGGGGTTCTGACTTCACAGCAGCCGTCACCCTCGGGAACCCAGACGTCCTGGTGGGTTCCAGTTAAGAGGCCAGGGCTTTGCGGGGGGGGGGGGGGGGGGTCTATAGTCTAGTCCAGCCGTGGGCAAACTATGGCCCATGGGCCGTATCCGGCCCGTTTGAAATGAATAAAACTAAAAAAAAAAAAAAAGACCGTACCCTTTTATGTAAGGATGTTTACTTGGAATTTATATTAGTTCACACAAACACTCCATCCCATGCTTTTGTTCCCGGCCCTCCGGTCCAGTTTAAGAACCCATTGTGGCCCTCGAGTCAAAAAGTTTGCCCACCCCTGGCCTAGTCCCAGCTTTACCAGCAAGTCCGTTCCGTCTGTACCTCCTTTCTACCATCTGAAAGATGGGCACAGGCAGGAGGGTTTTGAAACATCAGGCAGCAGAGCATCGTGGGTGAGAAAGCAGATTCAAACCCCAGCTCTGCCGCTGGCTTAAATGCAACTGTAGGCAGCTTCCAGCACCTCTGTGGGCCTCCGCTGTCTCGCCTGTACAATTGGGCTGCCTCACAGCGCCAGTGAAGAGGTCACGTAAGTTTATGTGTGTGAAATGCTTCAAAGAGGGTCAGGCATGTGATAATGGGTCCCAAGGAAGTGAGCTCCTGTTATTAACTCGGGGGGCCCTAGTGGTGTTTGAGGGCACAGAGCAGCGCCCAGGGCGCAGCTTCCACTTGCAGTTGGAAAGGAGATGTAGTCTGAGATGTGGAGACTGACGAGGAAAATTCCTGTTTGCGTTGGCTGGGGGCAGGAACCACTGGGCTCTGTCTCCACTTCTAGTTTCTCCGTTGTTTTGTTTGTGTGTTTTTTGTTGTTAAACCGAGGATATTTTTCCCATTGACTTTTAGAGAGGGGGAGAGTTAGGGAGGGGGGGTGGGGAGAGAAAGAGAGCAAGAAACATCAATGTGAGAGAGACACATTGGTTGGTTGCCGGCAAGGCCAGGGATGGAACCTGCAGCTCAGGTATATGCTCTTGACTGGGAATAGAACCCTTCAATCCGAGGGCTGGCATTTATTTAGTGAGTATTTATTGATCACGTACGTGTGTATTCTAGGTACAGAGGATAAGGTGCTGAACAAAGGAGTTAAATCTGCCTTGTGGGAGCTCCCATTTTAGTGGAGGCAGGCCAGGTAAAGCAGTACATAAAGAAATGATGGCAGGTGATGGGGCTGTACAGAAAGATTGGGGTCTCAGGAGGGTTGGATGGAGTCCTCAGAGAAGGCCTCATTACATAGATGGTATTTGAACAAAGACGGAGGGCAGGGGCGAGGGTTCCAAGCAGATAATGCGGGAAAGGAGCTTTCAACCGGAGGGAACAGCAAGTGCAAAGGCACTGAGGCAGGACCCTTTACTGGAACAGAGAGGAGGGGAGGGGCTGTGATGGGTGAAGGAGGAGGGTGAGTGTGAGGGATAGGAGTCGGGACCAAATCACACAAGGCTTTGTGGAAGTTGGTCTTTACTCTGAATGTGTCGGGGGCCACGGGAGGCATTTGATAAGGACAGGACGTGACTTGGCTTCTAACGGGGTCCCCTGTGCTGACACGTGAAGGACAGATAGAAAGGGACCCACTGCAGGGGCTGTGCAGGGGTTAAAAGGCCGAGTCCGGGTGTACTTGAATGGAGCCGACGGAGTTTGCTAGAGGATTGGATCTGGGAGATAGAGGAGAGGATCCAGAGGACTCCTGAGTTTGGGGTTTGACCAGCTGGGAGGATGGAGTTGGTGATTC